TCTTTGCTATGAGGATTGTTGTTGCTAACATTGCAATTTTCTTCTTTTATTTTGTGCCCTTTGCGGCTCCTCTGGATCAAGGTGAGTTACAGCAGGGGGTGGGTTGTTTTGTGTTTTGAAGGATCCTCACAGGTCTCATATTTCACGTATCTAACTTTCTCTCTACGCCATAACGGTGCCTTTAAACCCAGCCGAAATCTCAGCCCAGTCTACATTTAACATATATGACTGCAGGGTTTCTCCGACAGTGTTGGGCAAACTCCAGATAAAATCACAAGTCGGATTTATCATCTTTAATGAACTCTCAAACTTGGAAAGTCGAAGAAGCCCCACGAAGCCCGCGTTAGCAGCGAGCGAAGACGTTATTAACACTGTTAAACTTTTAACGTGCGCTTCCACTATTTCATTTATGTGTTTAAGACTCGTTAAATACGGCTTACTGTGAAACATCTGTTTAATTTTCACAGATTAAACAGCTTATTGCTTACATTTTAAAACAGACCGCTCAGCTAATGTAACCGTGTGTTCCTGCATTGTGCCTGACAATGAAAGGTAAAAAGAAAGACTTCCAAGTAAACAACTTGCCCGTGTTGTGCCAAAAAGTGATTTCCGGCATTTGCCAAAAACTGATTGCTTGTATTTAAACTGCTATAAACAACTTGTTGATCTACAATATGTGAAACATATGTCAAATATATCCCTCGTGAATTATATCAAGTCATCTTAACCAACAAACAACATTCCTGTAACAAGGTAGAAGCCGCAATCACTTTTTGGCAGTGACTTTTATGTATCCTTTATTTATGCAGTTAAAAAAAATTATTGTTTACTTTAAAAATGTCTGTTTTAAGAGTAATCAGGCCAAGAAGACATCTGAAATTGCAACAAATGCAAAAATAGTTCTGTAAACATATTTTAAGTGGACAAAAGGAAGCTGATTGATTATAATTAAGTACAATAACACAGCTACAAAGATAACTGAGAAACAAGTAATTTTTTTAAATTTTGTATATAACCCCTTTGCAATACCTGTTCACCGAAGTCTATTTAGCAACATACATAGCGATATTACACATAAAAAAAACACACTGAAACATTGGAAATCAGTTTTTGGCACAACACCTGCTCCAGCTACAGTACAAACACTTGGGATGAGAGTTAGCTCAACCCACTACACCTTCAAAGCTACCAGGAATTATCTGCTCATGCTAGCATTAACACACACACATTTACTACAATAATTAAAAACACACAATCAGAAACACCAGAGTGGATAAAGATATAATTAATCTCGGAAAAGAAATGACATAGACCTCTCCTACAGGGGAATTATAGAAAAGGGGAGAGGCCATAGGGGTACCCCAAATTTATAGGATTGCACCAAAGAAGAAGAAAAGGATGAAGATAACTACAGGCTTGCAGGTCCTAAAAGTCAGCTATACCAGGAACAGTTTGGGGTTTAATAATGTATCGATACAGGGACAGCAGAAATCGATATTTTGTTACAAAAAAGGTTTTTGTGGACTGGAACATGCTCTGACTTCACCTCCTTTTTCTGAGCAAGAATCCTGACATTCCTTCACTGTCCAAATGTGTTTAACTTTTTTTATGGCAGCAATAAACATGACAGTTTACTTATTTTAATTTAAGACATGTTTTATTTTAATTAAGTTTAAAACTTTTTTATTTAATGTAAAATTATATTTTGTTTTAAGTTACTTTCAAATTCTTCAGTTGCTGAAGGGGCTGCATAGTTTTCATAAACTGCATAGTTCAGAATAGCTATAATTGTACCAGATGGTTGCATTCAGTTAAGTTGGACTAGACTGTAATACAAACCGTTCAGTTTGTCAACAATAAAACTGAAATGAGACAAAGACTGAGTGTGAGACTTTGTTATTAGATAAAATGAATATTGATAAAGTTTACCTTTATGTACAGAATCGGAATATCGCAAAATATTTTTAAAAATTGCAATAATATCGTATCGTGCTTTAAGTATTGTGATAATATCGTATCGTGGCATGTATGGTGATTCCCACCTCTAGTAATAACAATATGTGATTTATCACCCTGTTACACTGGCTACAAAAATATAAGAAACACATTATAAATACATCGTTTACTGTAAAAATCCGAGTAATCAAAGTTTATCATCACGTCCACTTCTGCTTCTGATCACCAAGCCCTCAGCCTCTCATCCAGTGTCCGCACTGCTCAGCTCCGCTCCTCAGGCCTGAAGACTGTCGGATTTCACTCTGGATTCAGTTCAGTTTAGCTGCAGCTCCCCTGCTGCTCAGAACAGCCAGCAGTCTTGTTATACATAAAATATAGAAATTACGTGTTTTGTAAGAACCTTTATGACTCAGAGAGTAGATACAGTCTTATTTGACACTTCAAATATCTTGATAGAAATGTTTTTGTTGCAGTTTCTGCTGCCCTCTCAAACACATCTCTCTTGAAATGCATATGTAATCACAGGGAGACTTTTTACCTGGATGGATAAATAAAGGATACACAAAAGTTCCTTGAAGGTTATTTTAAAAAGAAGGAGCCAGAAAATAAATAATAATAATTACAATACTAATTTTACTTGTATGTTTTTGTTTTTTTCATCTGTGTTCTCTGTTTGTTACTCATAGTAAACAGTGAATTTTGTGTTTATATCACTCAGAGGTAACTGCGAGTCCTGGAGAAGATGCCATTCTTCAGTGTCAGGGTCCCAGAGATGTGGAGATCACCCTGTTCGAGTGGAGCAAACCTGAGCTTAAGTCCGATGTCTATGTATTCTTCTACAGAAACCAGCGCCTATATGAAAAATACCAGGACTCGTTCTTTAAAGGCCGAGTGGAGCTGAGAGATCCATCAATGAAAGATGGAGACTGTTCAGTGATTCTAAAGAATGTCAGCATCGGGGATGCAGGAACATATGAGTGTCGCATTACAACCAGGAACACCAGAAGAAATAAGGGCGTCCAAAGTGAGTTCCAGCACTCCATCAAGCTCACAGTAAAATCCTCAGGTGAGTTCGTGGAAGTGCTACAGTTTCTTCCATAGGAAGTTTTACATTTTGCAGATGTGATGTTATTGTTGTGGTTGGTGCTATTAAGTTATTTCCCACTTCCATTGTTTGTTTTTGCATGATGGGGATCTAAAGTTTTTTTATCTGTACCCAACACATTGCAGTTAACTTCAGCTTTAAATGTTCAGAAAGTGCTGTTATTTATACATGATTCCTAAACTTGATTCAAAGTGTTCGATGTGTATTTTATAGTTTTTCACTTTGACCTTAAATAGGAAGCCCGAAAGATGCTACAAAGATGTGAGGGAGCCAATAACTGGGCTTAAACGTTCACATAAACCAATCGGAGAGAGAGAGCATAAACTTTAGGAGTGACATAAATGAAAATCTGGTGCATTGTTACAAAGAATGAATGTACTGACCTCGGGCTGTGAGATATGACCAAAATCTCATCTCAATACAAACAATTCTCATCCCAATAACGATATATATCACAAAATAGTGCTTTTTCTGAAAATTCATTGAACACAGTTGGGCGTCGTGTACCTGGAGTCAAGTGTTTTGACCGATGCATGAAACTATACATTTTTAGACATAAGTTGTAACGGCCGCCATTTTCTTTGTATTTATTACACGGCGTGCTGCTGTTCTAACGTTTGAGTCTAAGGTTTATTTTGAGCACCTGACGCCTCTTTTTTGCTTCTCATCCGTAAACTCTCTCCATACTCTTTCACGTGATTCTGGTGATAGAAGAGGTTTGTTGTCGTTGAGTCTGTGGTGGGGACGTTTTGCAATAAAATTTAGTACAGATTTCATAGTACAGTTTTCTGTCAGATGTTGCATAACCAAACCACGTCCATGCTAATAATCTGATTTTTTTCAGCTCATCCTACATGTTAGGCTTCCAACAAAAATGAAAACAAATTAAAAGATCAAGTTAATTTTGGATCTACCAAAATCTTTTCCTTCTAGGATGGTTCTGGTTTACTTCAGCTTGATGACTAAGAAAGCTTTTTGGAAGAAGGAGAATCCCAAAGTAATTAATCTTTTAATGAAAGCATGATGTTTCAAAAACTATTGCAAAACTACCAAAGCACATTATCCAGCAATGGCCAAAATATATCATAGCTTTTTCAGAAGGAGTGAGTTTGGCTGTACTCAGTTATTATGAATAAAGGGAGGCTAACCCATGTGCTGCCAGAGCCTCTGAATGACCTGAAGATATATTTTAGAGTGTCTGCTAACTTTGTCTGCACACTCTTTCTGCTCTGCAGGTTTCGCGGACGACGACACCGAGAATGGAGGAGAAAAGGTTCGAGAAGAGAAGGTCAGAGTAGAGAAGGATGGAGGAAAGAGTAATTGGTATCTTTCACTGATAACTGGTGTGCCGATCACTTTTTTTATTTTTGCTATACCTGCTGGTGTAATTATCTACAAAAGACTAAAAAAATGTATGAAAAGTACTAAATAGCAGATCTGAATCCTTACCTCTTTCCTCCTGAATGACTGTGGGTCCTGCTGTTGCACAGAAATGAAAACATCTTTGTAAGACTACTTGAGATCCATGCTGCAATAATCTTGTTTTTGTCCATTTATGATGGTTTAAAATGCTCCGTTTAACCACAATAATAAATGTCTGCTCAGGTTACTCTCAGGAATCAGATTCTCTTGTCAAGTTAGGGAAGGAAGTAGTGTGGGCAAACTGTCGCTATGGGTCGTGACCTGTAAATTATACAGGTTGTTACGCACATTATTAAGTATTTGAAGATCTTCACTTTTATTACCTCTACAGCCAGTCAGCCTGCCCCCTTCCCTGACATCAGTCCAGTTCTGCAAAAAAGGCTAAAGCTTCAGAGTCTGCTGTCAAAGCTGCTACCTGTCAGTTTATTACAGAGGTCACTGTTGAAGCTTGTCTGCACGGGGCAGTGGTTTATTTCTTCTAAAGTGTTTAAACCCACATACCACATTTTTTTAATCACTACCAAAAATAAGTTTATTTTAGTGAAATAAAGGTCTGCACAGGTTCATTATCAGAGGACATATTGCTGATATCAAGAGTAAAAAGGACCAGCGCTGTATGTTTAAACCTGTGAAGCCTTAACCCTTTAAGACCTACCATAGAACCAAGTCCGCCAGAGCTTACTTTATATTTTTACATGCTGTGGAGCCATTTTTGGGGGCATTTCAAGTTACTATACATCAATGCAACTGTTATAGCCCATATTTTAATAATATGTCTGCATTAAGTCCATAGAAATTACATAAATTGCAAAAATCGTTTTTGTTTTTTTTACATATATTTCTACTTGGAGAAATTTAAGAGGCTTATCCCTCAAAACTTTAAATACAAAAAAGTTGCAAAAAATAGTTTACAACAACAGGAAATTTATTTTGAGTGTCTTCATACTTTTATTTTTGAGATAAGGCAATTTTTATATACTGCAGGAAAAACAAAAAACAATCCTATGATGCAAATTCAAAGAAAACAGCATATGCATCAAAATAAACTATTTCCAGCAGTGCAATTTGAGTTCTAAGCATCCCAGAAACTATTCAGAAAAGCATAAAGTCAAACATGACTTAATCTGTGTTATTTTTCTATGCAAATATTTTGTATTTTTGTATGTATTCAAAATCATTAGCACGGACACATCATTAATCACAGTGTAATATATATATATATATGTATATATGTAATCACTTTATTTTTCAGCAACATGTAAAGTTTCGAGTGTACTTGTGATGTTTAATGTTCTTTTTATATTGGCATTTTTAAGCATCACTTTGTCACCTTTTAATTGATCTTAACTATGTATATTCTGTTAGTACAAGCTCGAGCTGGACTGGAGTCGTGCTGACATGTAATAAATAAAAACACAAACTATCAAGAAGATTTTTTGTTATTTTGAGTGTTTCGATTTTTAATTGCAGGGAGTGTAATTAGAGCGGAGGGGTGTACAACGAACTCAGATAAATGGCTTAGCAAGGTACAACGTATATCTCTGTTTACCTGGATAAATCATCACTGTAAGTTACGCTGAACACTTAATATAACTTGTTCCTGACCAGGTCTAGAGTTTTGGTTTAAAACTGCCTGGATGGGACAGATTTTCATTGAGTCTTTTATTGGCAGCATGTTAAAATACTCACTAACAGTATTCTCTGTTAGTGAGAACTTCATGCAATTTTCAAAGATTACTTCTAAATATCTATATGTTAAAATATTGTGTTCACTTAAAAATAGATATATGTATATGGAAAACATCACACTGGAAAACAAGCAATTTATTTAAAAAAAAGAAATTATTAGCCATCAGTGAGCCAGTCACAGTCTTATAAACAGAAACTGTCAGGGTTTACAACCTTTTACAAATTCTTTGTTCGTGAATTTTGTTTTTAGTTGGTATTCCCTGTTTTAGCTACAAGCTAAGTTGCTGTTTCCTGATTGGCTGCAAAATTTTGTTGCATTTACAGGAAGACGGCTTTGATTTAAACTTGCAAACTTGAATGTAAATTAGATGTAAAATTGTCACAAGAGGGCTCAGTAAGAGGATGCAAGTGTGAAGGCCAGTGCAAGGTACATAGACATTAGAAAACATAGAAAGTGTGTGTGACAGTGTACACACAGATCTGCGGGCCAAGTTTTGTCCCAACACATGGTCCACAGTTGTTAAAATGATGTGACATTACACCTTGGTCCATTGGAGAGTATATCAAAGAGACAGAACCAACTCTCTGCTGTCTATAATCCAGTTCTGAGATCCCTTCCCAGACGTCTTAATGCCCACTAACCTCCTGGGCCATCTGACCTCAGGAAATCACATTGTTGGGTTTATTAAAGTACAAAACCCCACTGGAACACAAGACCACCAACTGCACGGCAAAAACAAGACACAAGTCAGAGCTCTTTGTCTCGTGGGCCGCGAGGGAAGTCAGTCAAGGCCAAGTTCACCTTCCTTTCTTCACCTGTCCTTAGCCTCCCTGTTATTGTCAACAAGCGGTCATACATGAATATGCAATTACAAATACACATGACAGTGTTAAGCAGCCATATCTGAGCAACATTGTTATCTGTATTCAGTGTGTGTGTGTGGATGCATGTGTGTGTGTTTTCAGCCATACCATACATAGACATACTTCCTTACCAACCTTTCCAGGACCAAACAACATGAACTTAACAGGTGTATGAGGTATGCTGAAAGAGCAGAAGCGAGCATCTCACTAAACTATAAAACAGGAACTTGCAATAGGTCATATCTCAAATGAACATTGAAAGCTGTGAAGTCTTGCACTTTAATAGAAGAGAACAGTCTGTTTCCTAAAGCTATAATGGAAATTATAACGTCGAGACTTCTTCCTAGTAACAGTAATAATATTAATAACAAGGTGCAATAAATACCCTCTTCTTTTCATAACTGAAATTAGGTTACTGTGTTGTGTTGTACGCAGTGCCGACGTGGGACAGTTTTCCAATTTCATTGTACTATTGTACTATGTATAACTGTGCAATGACAATAAAGATTATTAAAGATAAATAAAGGCTTATCGTATCGTATATTAAATAGCATGAAATCGGAGGCAATTCTTGTACGTAGGTCAAAAGTGATTATACTGTGAATTCGATAAAGGCGACTAAGCTGGGCAAGCCTTAGGTAACACTTTGCATCTATGTCACATCCCAGCTGGCTCCGAGATACAGGAACAGGAAGTATGACATATGCACCATAATGATGTTTGACTAACAAATTAGGCGCATTTATCTATAAACCGTCACTGCTTAAGTTGTCTGACCAGAAGCCAAACTGATGCTGGGTGGTGCTCAAACGGGCTTAACTGAAAAACACGAATGCAACTCAGAAAATCAGTTCCAGTTTTGCAAGATCTCTTCAGAACAACAGTGTTTAAGACACTCCAGTAACGTTTCACCTATTGCTTTTGTTTAAGTTTTGAAAAGAAGTGGGAAGAAGTACACACCTATGACCTTTGTTATCCGTCTCATCAGTAAATATTCATCCATCTGCCAGCCACCTGGGTTGGTTTACTTAGCCTGATAGGGCGGAGGACACTGTCTCAGCTGAACTCTGGACACGCACACACATACACTTACACTGATAAGCACGCACTCATCCCCCTCCCTTTCCAAACGCCTTCGATGCTTGTTTCCTGTGGGGGAAGACGGCGGGTCTGTGTGCTGGAATGGTAGCGCTGTGCAGGGCGGCTGCTGTGTTTCCTTCGGATTACTCCTCACCCCCTACCCAACCTTGTGGCTTGTCACGTGCTCCAATGTTGTACTGTGGACATTTATGTGCTCTCTGTGCAGAGGAGTTTTTTTGTTTCCTGTTCTCATGCTGTCCTTCCATAGGTGCCCAGCATGAGTAGAGGTCTCTTTTTCCTCTTGTACTTTCCCATTGTTGTGTACTTTTTCAGTGTTTTTCTGTAACACTGCCGATCTCCGACCTGTATTCCCATGTGATGTGTATGTTGTGTGTGTAAGTGGGGGGTGGGGGCTATTCCACTGCGGGGCAACCTGCATGTGGCCAATAAAGCCTTTCATTCATTCATCAGTAAACATTCATCCAGTCTACTTCAAGTTCAAATTTTCAGGTTCATATTTTATTCGTCACATACACAGTCATATAAGTACAACATACAGTGAAATGCTTGTGTCCAAGGAGGGGGCAGGCTGCAGACGTGGCGGCACCAAATACTAATACTAATAGACACCTAATATACAATTCATCATATTGTTTTTACAACTTTACTTCAACATGTCAGAAACAAGTATCTCTAGTTTCACTTAATTGTGAACTCTTGATAGGAATGAAACAGGAAAAGAGACATTCACTGACACTCAACATGTTTATATTTCATAAAAGCAAGATCTTTAAACTACTACTTTTTTAGTGCTTTATGTTTACGCATTGTTTTAATTTCACTGTCTTAAAGTTACATTTTCATTTTTTATCAATGTTTTAACAGAAGAACAGAAATGTATACATTTTCCTTTGTCTCTTATAATGAGACAAACACTCTGTGACCTGAAGTCTTCAAGGATAACAAACACTGACATTTTTACATAATATAGCATCTTCCATTCATAACTTCCTGACCAAGAGTCCACTGAATTTCAGGTTAAACTGGCCTACCTTGGGAGTATGCATTGAGCCTTTCCCTGTATGATTTCTACCCATGACTACCAAGCTCTCCATGCAGAAAATACCATTACCAAATTTGCAGATGACACAACAGTCAGTGCTTTGATCATCCATAATAATGAGAAGCCTGCTAAATCTGGCAGCTCTGAATTATCTTATCCTCAACACCCAGAAAATGAAGGAGACTGTGGCGTATTTCAGAAAGAAGAAGCGACCTCAGTCTAGTGACCACGGGCAGCAAAACTGTGTAAAGAACCCATAGCTTCATAACTCTGGTGAGAGCTCCAACATCACAGAGGCCCTCCCCTGGTCTAATCACACCTCTGCTGACATCTGCAAAGCACAGCACCTCTACTTTTATTTACCCTGGGGAGAATCGGACTGTTACAACACATCCTCAGCTTTTACCGATATACTGCAGACCGTGTTCTCACTTGCTTCACAGCTTTGGTATGGTATGACAGCTGAAGTAAACAGCAACACGAGGCAAACAGATGTCGAAAGGACTGCAGAAAACAGTCATCATTGACCCATAAATGCGTCCTGTTGAAGACAACAGTGGTGTAGGTGGTAGCGCCGGTATTATTACTGATGACTCCACTCAGTAAGGCGTTTCAGGACTTTCCACTGACACTCCAAAAAAGCTGAAAAGCAGCCTCTGCCAAAATGGTGGACTCTTAAAACTACAACACTTTGTTTGCACTCTGCTACTGTTACAATCACACGTTATACTCTATTGTTAATTTTTGTTTTACTAATTAACTTATGTTATATACTTACATATTTCTTTCCTACTGGGTGATTATTTATAAGGAATCCCTGCCTATGTTTTTGTTCTTTTTTATCTTCTTGAATTTTGAATCGAATACCATGCCTTGCCCTTTATTAAGCACTTTTTAAAACAACAGCACGGGCTATCAGGAACTTGGGTTTTTAACATCCACTGGGCTGCAAGTGACCTGTTTAAGATAAGGGCACATATATATATATATATATATATATAGCAAATTCCTCACCTATCTGGCATAACCACAAGGACATTTAGCAGACATAAACATAATAAACTGAGTTAAAAATGTTTTTGTTTGTTGGTTTACATATAAAAGAAAAAAAAACACAGTTAAAGC